GGCGCCTTGGGCGCGCCGTAGTAGCCGTAGCCGAAGCCGTCGCGCGCGGCCGCCGGCTCGTAGCCCGGGCTCGAGATCGCCGTCGGGAAGAGGAAGCTGCACCGCGACAGGATCTCCTCGCCGTCGATCCAGGCGCTGAGCTCGTCGCGGCCGAAGAGGGACAGGCGCGTGCGCCCGCGGCCCTCGACGTAGAAGTGGTGCCACTCGCCGTAGCAGAACGCGGTGCGCCGCAGGGGCACGGCCGTCTTCTGGGACACGCGGCCCTGGCTCAGGCCGTGGGGGCTGTGGGCCGCCTCGACGACGAAGCTCACGTCGTCGACGTCGTCGCCCTCGCGCGACAGCGACACGACGACGCCGAGGTCCTCGCGCGTCGCCTGGGCCGCGGCGGGGCGCTTCAAAGCGGGCGTTCCGCGCGAGCTTCCACGGAAAAAGCGTCCACGCTTCGGGAGGGACGATCGCTCGTCCAAAAGTCAAGCCGAAACGAGCGGAAAACGACCGAGATCGGAGCCTTTGGAAATGCCGCGCCCTCGTCCCGCCCCGGTCGTCGCGAGCCGCGCGAGCTCCACGCGCGCGCCCTTGGCCGGCGGCGACGCCACGCGCGCCCACAGACTCAGGCCGTACTCCTTGTTCGGCGGCTGGAGGGGCCAGGGCAGCGTCGGCACCTCCACCGCGCCGCCGGGACGCACGTCGAAGTACGCGCCGCGGCACGGGCCTGGGCGGGAAAAGAGAGATGCAACGTCGCTTCAACGTGAGTGTTCCGCGCGCGCGCGTTCCGGAAAAAGCATCCATGCTTCGAGAGCGCTCCGAGAGATGATCACCCGTCCAAAGATCAGCCGAAACGAGTGGAAAACGGCCGAGAGAGGAGCCTTTGAAGTTGGGAATGTCGCGCTCTTTTCCGGCCCCGGCACCGGGCCGCGGCGCCGCCGCCGCGCGACGCAGCCCGCGAACGCGCGCCGCGCCGCGCGGATGGCCTCCCGCGCCGCCGGGAGCCGCGGGCCCGGCGCCGGCGTCGCCAGCTCGAGCAGGCGCCGCAGCTCGCGCGGCGTGCAGCCCGCGGTCGCCATGAGCGCGCCCGCGACGCGGAGCAGGCCGCTGCCCAAACTCCAGCCGTCCGCGTCGTCGTCGGCGTCGCGGGACCGCGCCGCCGCGGCCACGAGGTGCTCCACGGGCGACTGGCCGCCGAGCGCGGACCGCGCCGTGCACCGGAAGCGCACGGCGAGGAACGGCGCGCCGCTGAGGCGCCGCGCCGCCGCGCCGAGCGCCGCGCGCTGCGACGCCTTCGGGAGAGCCTGGACGCCCGGCGGCGCCGCGAAGAGCAGCTCCACGAGCGCCCGCTCCCACGCCTCCCACGGCGAGCTCATGGTTTTTTGTATATAGACAGGGGCTGCGAGCCTGTCATCACCATCGTCCGTCGACTGAGAGGTCGTACGACTGCAACATTGCACCGCAACACCGGCCCATCGCGCTCGGCTGCGATTTCAAGCAATGGGCGCCCGGATCTGCGCGGCGGCCCTGCTGCTGCTCGCGCCGCTCCATGCCTTCCGGTCCGTCGCCGCGCCGCGCCTGGCGCCGCTCCGCACGGCGCTCTCCGCGGCGCCGCGCCTGGCGCCGCTCCGCGCGGCGCTCTTCGCCGCGGCCGACGCGCCGACCCTGAACCAGCAGATCAACGAGCTGGGCCTGTCGCTCAAGGCCAAGGGCGTCCAGCAGCGGGACAAGTTCGTCGCGGCGGGTGCGCTCCCGGCCAAGGCGAAGCACCTCGTCGGCGCGGGCCTCCTCTTCGGCGTCTTCGTCTGCTACCGCGTCTACCGCGGCTTCTTCGTCCTGCTGCCCGCGGTCTTCGACGAAGTCCGAAACAAAGTAAAAACGGAGATGCTGAAGAAGTACGGCGCCGACGCGGACCTGGACCCGAAGACGGGCGCGCTGCGACGAAAGACGGCCGCGCTCGTCAACGCGGCGTCGTGCTTCTTCACGGTCATCCTCCTCGCGCGCACGCTCTGCGACAGCCTCGCGCTCGGCCTGTCGCGGCTCGGCTCGGGCACGCTCAAGCGCGAGGCCAAGGAGGAGGAGCTCGACCTGCCGCCGCTGCCGTCGGACATCCCGGACGTCGCGCTGCCGGACACGGACGAGCTCCCGCCCGCGTCCTGCTGCGACTAGGGCGCGTCGTAGAAACGGGCGCTAGTGCGAGCACGGCGGCGGCGGCGGCGCGCCGTCGGCCGCGGCGACGAGCTCGTGGAACGCGGCGTAGTCGATGCGGCACCGGCCCCGGTCGTCCCTCGACACGCAGGGCCGGAAGTCGCAGTCCCAGACGACGTCCCGCCGGTCCTCGCCGTCGCGCGCGCGGTAGCAGTAGGAGTGGGTCGCCTGGACCGTGTTCGACGTGATGGGGTCGACGCCCTCGACGACGACGACGATCTCGTGGCCGCTCGCCTCCATGAACGCGTCGACGGCGGCCGCGTCCGGTTTCGTCGCGCGCGCGGGCGCGGCGGCGGCCGGGTGCGACGTCGCGACGTGGCGCGCGAGGCAGCCGGCGTCCTCGTAGGTCTCGCCGCACACGTCGCAGCGGAACGCGGAGCGGCCGCCGGCGTCGGCGTCCGACGCGCGCTGCAGCGGCCGGGGGAACGCGTACGTCGCCATCGGGTCGTCGCCTCCGGCTTCGCCGCCGGCGTCCGACGTCCCGCCCCCGCGCGCCTCGACGCGCGGCGCCGGCGGCACGAGCGGCGACCACGCGTCGAGGCGGTGGACGACGACGGACGGCAGCGCGAGGAAGAGCCAGCCGCCGAGCTCGTCGTCGGGCTTGTCGAGGCGCATGGCGCACTGCTGGAAGGGCGCCGCGCGGCCGCGCGCGTCCGTCTCGTCGCGCACCGCGTAGCAGCGCACGTGGCCCTCGATCAATTGGTGGCTCCGCATCTCGACGACCTGGAACATGAAGTAGAGCTCGCCGCCGACGCGGCGGATGACCGCGCGGTCCGAGAAGAGGATCGTCGACGACCGGCCGACGCCGGAGGACAGCGACGTGTAGACGAGGCCCAGGCTCACGCAGTCCAGCAGGATGCCGATCAGCGACTGCGCGAAGATGAGGAACGACGACGCGCCGCAGTCGGCGAAGAACTGGTCGCGCGTGCCGTAGCCGATGGTCATCATCGTCTCCACGGAGAAGAGGAACGCCGCGTTGAAGTTCTCGATGCCGACGTCGCAGGCGTCGGACGCGGCCCACCAGAGCAGGCCGAACAGAACGGACACGGCGACGTAGGCGAGGAGCAGGAAGAAGAGGATGTACCAGACGTTCGAGTCGGCGATCGTGTGGTAGAGGTCCCGGTAGTAGAGGCCCCGCTCCCGGTGCGCGCGCTCGATGTGGAGGCGGCCGCTGCTCTGCCCGAAGGCCACGGAGCGCCCGAGCAGGCGGCCGCCGCCGCCGCCGCGGCCCGGCGGGCGGCAGCCGTAGCCGGCGATGGTGGGCCGCCGCCGCCGCGCGACATGCGCGCCGCGGCGGCCGCGGCCGCGGCGCGGCGCGCGCGAATCGCAGCGCTCCTCGACGACGAGCGCCTCGCCCTCCTCGATGGACACGAGCGGCTCCGAGAGGCTGCAAGGGGCAGCCATAAGCCTGTCTTCGGACGGCACCGTGCGGCGAACGTGAAGTCTGCGCTCGGCGATGGCGGCTCCTGCTTCTTCTTCGGACGCCGGCCCGAGCCCCTGCTGCAAGGAGGAGACGCAGGCCGACGCCGCGCCGCCCTGCTGCAAGAGCAAGACGCCGGCCGACGCCGCGCCGCCGGACGGCGCGCCGGCCGGAGGCTGCGGCGCGCCGGCGTGCTGCAAGGAGGAGCCCGCGCCGAAGCCCCGCGCGGCCCGCGCGCGGCGGGCGCGCGGCCGGCGCACGATCCCGCCGGAGATCGCCGAGAACCCGCTCCTGCTCGCGGCGATCGCCAGGTCGCTGCCCGCGAACTACGGCTTCGAGGTCCCGAAGACGATCTGGCGCGCGACGGAGGCCAAGGCGACGTGCATCGCGCTGCAGCTCCCCGAGGGCCTGCTCCTCTACGCGAACGCGCTCGCGGACATCGTCAAGGAGTTCTGCAAGGCGCGCGTCGTCGTCCTCGCGGACGTGACCTACGGCGCGTGTTGCGTCGACGACCTGACGGCGAAGGCTTTGGGGGCCGACTTCCTCGTGCACTACGGCCACTCGTGCCTCGTGCCCATGACGGTCACGGGCCCGCTCAAGTCGCTCTATGTGTTCGTCGAGATCGGCTTCGACGTGGACCACCTCGTGGGCTGCGTCGAGGCCCAGTTCGGGACGCGGGCGATCACCGCGGGCGAGGCGGGCGAGTCGCGCGCGGCGGCGGCGAGGCTCGCGCTCGCGGGGACGATCCAGTTCGCGAGCGGCGTCGAGCGCGCGCGCGGCGCCCTCGAGAGCCGCGGGCTCTCGTCCCTGGTGCCGCAGCAGATGCCCCTGAGCGCGGGCGAGGTTCTGGGCTGCACGTCGCCCAAATTGACGGCGCGCGTCGACGCGATCGTCTTCGTCGCCGACGGCCGCTTCCACCTCGAGTCGATCATGATCCACAACCCCGACGTCCCCGCCTTCCGCTACGACCCCTACGGCAAGGTGCTGACGCGCGAGCGCTACGACGTGCCGCGCATGCGGCGGCTCCGGGAAGCCGCGGTCCGCGACGCGCGGGCCGCGACGCGCGTGGGCCTCGTGCTCGGCGCCCTGGGCCGCCAGGGGTCGCCGGACGTGCTCCGCCGCGTCAAGGCGCTGCTCGTCGCGCGGGGAATTTCTCATTTCTGCCTCGTGCTGTCGGAGATCACCGCGGACAAGCTCGCGATCTTCGACGCGCACGTCGACGCCTGGGTCCAGGTCGCGTGCCCGCGCCTGAGCATCGACTGGGGCCACGCCTTCTCGCGGCCGCTCCTCTCGTCCTACGAGGCCCACGTCGCCTTCGGCGCCGAGGCCTGGGTCGACGGCCACTACCCGATGGACTACTACGCGAAGAACGACAAGCCCTGGACGAACTACTTCCCCTCGTCGAAGAGCCTCGCGGGCGCCGTGAGCTAAAATCACGCCGGTTGTCTTCTCTCGAGTCTACATTGGCGGGTGTGGGGCGTGGAAGGCGTCGGGCGCGAGGGGCGCGAGGCGCGTGTCGCGGTTCGGAGCGCGCGGGTCCCCCCAAAACGCCCGAGGTGGGCGGAACGCCTCAGACTGCTCAATTGAGAAGGAGATGGTGGATGAGCCCAGAAGCAGCCTGAGCGCTACTACAGCCGATTGCAGAGCTACGCAAAAAACGGCCTCCGAGAGGGACGCCTCCGCGAGAATCAGCAGGAGCGGCGGGACAGCAGGAATGAAATCGTTTAGGTCGAGGCTGAACAGGAAATCGAGGCGAAGCCCGAAGCCCTCGAGCTGCTCCTCTGTTTCTGGCTCAGCTTCGGGCTCCTGCGCCAGCTTCTCGAGCTCTCGCGGGTCACACGAGATAGAGTAAGGGCTCCAGTCGATTTCGACTCCGTACTGCACATCGTCCTGGCCGTCAACGATTTCAGTCGCCAACCATTCGTCGAGGTCGTCCCATAAATTGCCCACCCACTGTGCGCGTTCTCCGATGGCAAACTCCGTCTCCTCGCGACAGCGCTCGCAGCTCCAGACCGACGGGATGCCGTGAGGGCGCACCCAGCCATCCCAGACACAGCAAAACAGACACCGTTCACCCGGTTCGAGGTCCTCGTCTTCGATTTGATCCGCCAGCGCGGGCGCGGGCGGTGCGGGCGCCGGCTGGGAGTTCGCGACGGCGCTGGCGTAGGCGCCCTTGGGGACCCCGGACGAGAAGATCGCCGCGCCGCCAACGAACGCGACGAGGAGCTTCTGGAGGGCCATTTCGCGCTGGGGGGCGGCGCGGGCGACGCGCGAGACGAGGGTACAGCAGCAGCTCGACTCGAGCCAGGACAGCTCAATAAAACGGCGTTGCACGAAACGCCGACTTCGCCAAAAGCTCTCGATTGCCACAAGGGTGGGAGCTCCCCGTACGCTCCGCGGCGCGCGCTGGTGCATGCCCGATTCCCTCCTCGCGACGCTGTCCGAGGCCCGCGCCCTGCGCCAACTCCACAAAACTATAAAAACACACCCGACCCCGACCGCCGCAACCATCGCGTGGCGCGTGCTCTGGCGGAGCGCCGTCGTCCTCGGCGTCCTCGGGTCCTTCGCCGCCTGCCAGCGGCGCCGGGGGTCGCGCGGCAACCGGTTCTACCGGAACGGCGAGCCGCGGCCCGGCAGCTCCGAGGCGGGCCTCCGCCGCGGCGGCTCGCCGCAGCCGCACCGCGTCGCCGCGCCCATGGCCGACCACGAGGCCCGGCGCGACTACGCGGGGCGGCGCAGCGACGACGGCCGCTTCGCCGCGACGGCGAGCGTCGCGGGCGGCAGCGAGTCCGTCGTGATCCGGCGCGACGACGGGTCGCGCCTCAGCTTCGGCGACTGGGCGCGGCTCCTGGCGGCGGACCCGGACTTCGCTCGCTTCTTCAACTCGCTCCTCGCCGCGTCGCCCTACGACGCGTTCTACTGGGAGTGCCCGCCGACGTCCGCGACGACGCTCGACGCCGTCCCCTACGAGCACAAGACCGTGCGGAGCCGGGGCTTCGCGCCCGCGTCGCCCTCGGACTTTTCGGAGCACCTCCGCGAGCCGTGCGCCGCGGGCGCCGGCGTCGCCGCGTTCCCGAACCTCGGCCGCGACGCCATGCTCGTCGCGCCCTGCGACGCCGGCGCCGCGCCGCCGGAGGACGGCGCGCCCCCCCACCGCAAGCACCCGACGCTCCGCGAGAAGCGCGAGGCCCGAAAGGACCGGGACGAGGCCGCGGCGGCGCGCGACGCGGCGCCGCTCGAGGCCTACGGCCACGTCGCCAACTTCGCGCGCCTCGCGCCCGACGGCCAGCGCGTCGCCTTCTGGGCCAAGGTCGGCGCCGTCTACGAGGCCCTCGTCAAGCAGGGCCGGCCCGTCTGGCTCAGCACCGAGGGGTCCGGCGTGCCCTGGCTCCACGTCCGCATGGACTCCCGGCCCAAGTACTACCACACGCGCGAGTTCAAGGACTGGAAGCCGTGGAGCGAACCGACGCCGCTCTAAGTTCGCACGGTAGCCACCGGTCGTGGAAGGCGGCGAGGGCGCCCGAAGTGGCGCCAGGGCGTCGTGTGCGACCTCGAGCGAGGCCTCGAGGCCTCGTGAGAACCTCTCGCAGGGCGACGCCGAGAAAGTGGTGAATCGTGGAGAGAGCACCGAGCTTCACCAATCATCAACATGTCCAAGTCGCCTCCGCAACACGGCGTCGCGATCCTCTACGCCATCGCCATCGCCGCGATCGCCCTCGACGCCTTGACCTTCTTCGTCACCTTCCCCGTCGGCGCCGCCCTGCGAGTCGTCGTCCACTCCCTCGTCGCCCTCCTGCGACACGTCGCGCTGCCCCTCGCGGTCGTCGGCTCGGCCGCCTGGCGCTTCCGCGACCCCATCCTCGCGCGCGGTGTCGCCTGGCTCGAGGCGAACAAGGGCGTCCGCGTCGCGGCGCCGACCGTCGACGCCAACGTGGACGCGCGACGGCGGACCGGGAGCGTCCGCGTCGCGGGCGTCGCGGTCGCGCTGCCGGAGTCGGAGACGCCCGTCGTCGCGCTCGACGAATTCCGGCTCTCGTACGCCGAGGCGTCCGGCGCAAAAGCGGTGCTCGAGGGGCTGACGATCACGTTCGTCGCGTACGATGCGCGGTTCAAGGACACGAACGTGTCGCGGCTCCTCGGCAAGCTCGGCGGCGGCGCCGGCGCGCCGCCGAAGAAGAAGCGGGCGACGAAGACATCGTCGTCGCCGAAGTTCTCGGCGCGCGTCGTCGGCGGCGTCGTGCACGTCCTCGCCGCGGGCCCGCTCGGCGTCCGGCCGCTGATCCCGCCGATCGCGCTCGACGACGAGACCGTCGACAGCGACGTCCTCGCCTCGAAGTTCAAGTTCGCCGCGTGGCTCAACGCGCTCGTGCTCCGGACGCTCTCGGGCTCGAGCCTCGACGCCGTCGCCGGCGCCTTCTCGGCCGTCGGCGGCGGCGTCGTCAAGGGCGTCGACGTCGTCTTCTCGGGCGTCGACGCCGTCGCGGACCGCGTGCCCGGCGGCTTCGCCGTGAAGCGGGGCACGGGCGCCGCGTCCGCCCTCGTCGGCGGCACCGTCGGCGGCGCGACGAAGGTCGTCGGCGGCGTCGGCGGCGGCCTCAAGTCCATCTTCCGCGGCCTCACCTCGGGCTCGGCCAAGGGCGCGGCGGCGGGGCTCAAGGACGCGGGCAAGTCCGTCGCGGGCGGCGTCGCCGACGGCGGCAGGGCCGCCGGCGCCGGCGCGAGCGGCGCGCGCGACTCGCTCGTCGGCTCCTCCTCGCGGCGGTAGGTCGCGACCGTCGGCGCGCCTAAGCGTGTGGAACCGCTCTCTCTCCTCCTCCCCGGGGGAGCCCTGCTACGGCGTCAATAACTAAGCATCCCCCGCTCTCTCCTCCCAGCGTAGTCGCGGCTCCCGCGGCTCTGTGACGGACGTGTGTGCTCGCGCACTCATCGCAACCGCAAGCTCTGTGGAGTTACGTCGCCGCCTCCGAAACCGAGTGTGATCGCGCGGTTCCGACCCAGAATCAGACCCCTCGGCGGCGCCCCGGCGCGCCCCCCCCGGCACGACCCGCCGATGGCCGCCGCCGCGGCGACGGAGAATCGGGCGCAGCGCTTCGACCAGCTCGACTTCATCAAGTCGCTCATCGAGGACGGCGAGGCGAACCGCTTCGACACGATCCGCGCCGCCGTCGAGGACGTCGTCGGCGGCTACTACCGCGGCGTCATCCCCATGGCCGGCGTCTTCGCGGAGGGCCGCGCGCTGCCCGTCAAGTCGTCGCGGACGCCCGTGAAGACGCTCTCGCAAAAGCTCCTCCCGGGCTGGTACGTGCTCTACGGCGCGCACCCGGACGGCTCCCGGAGCCTCGACAGCGACGACGAGGCCGACGTGGGGGGACTCGCCGCGTGCAAGTGGCGCACGGCGTCCGGCAACCAGTGCGGCGACCGCTACTTCTTCGGCGTCACGAAAAAGCGCGACGACGCGCGGAAATCTTCAACCCGACTTCAATGTGCAGTGCGCCGGACGCTTCGACCGTGCTTCGAGCACTCGACGAGAGCCATCGGTTCGTCCCAAAATCAGCCGAATCGACTTCGATGCGACCGAGCGAGAGAGTTCCGAAGTTTGGCGGGGACCCCCCGAACCACGAGCTCGAGCGTTCCGAAGTTTGGCGGAGATCCCGACTGTTTGATGTCCGCGCAGGTACTACGACGCGGACGAGACGCACCTCTTCAGCGGCCGCTACCGCGTCCGCGGCACGATCTTCAGCCGCATCGAGGACGACGCGCAGCAGGCCTGGGTCGCCGGCCGGCCCATGGTGTCGATCTGCGTCGTGAGCCGCCGCGAGATCCGCATGGCCGCGACGAAGGAGGCGAAGAAGCGCGGCGTCCCGGACGCGTCCGAGGACCCCCTCGGCTACCTCGCGGCGTCCGCGCGCGACGAGGCCGCGCGCGCCGCGGCGCCGGCGCCCGCCGCGCCGCCGCCCTCGGCCGCCGCCGCCGCCTACGCGCCCGAGGCCTACGCGCCGCCGCCGCCGCCGGGCGGCGGCGGCGGCGGCGGCGCGCCCGGCTTCGCCGACGGCCCGCCCCCGGCCCCCGGCGGCGGCGCGCCCTTCTTCAGCGAGGGCCAGGGCGGCGACCTCTGACCCCGGCTCCCCGGCGCGCGCGCCGCCGACGGGCGCCGTCCGGGACGCCGGACGACATCAACGCGGCCGCGCCACCAAGGCGCGCGCCGAAATTCGAAAGAATGAAGAGGACGGACGTTGCCCTCACTGATACCTAAATGAAATTGTAACGCAGTTCGGCTCTGAATCCGCTCGAGCTCGAGCATCTCTGCCCGTCGGTCGGCTCCGCGAGGTTGAAACGAGAGACAGCTCCGGGTGTCGCGCGACACACGCGATGGTATTTAGGACACCCTACTCCCCGAGTTCGCCGTCGTCGTCGTCGTCGTCGTCGTCGTCGTCGTCCGCCGCGGCGCCGTGCGCCGGGTATCGGCGCTGCCAGTCGGCGAAGTCGAACTTCGCGTCGCGCAGCGCCTTGTTCTCGGCGTCGGTTTTCTTCCGATGATGCAAGACGCACAGCACCTGGATGGTCCGCGCGCCGCCGCGCCAGCGCTTTGCGTCTTCCCAACGGACACGGCCCCACGCGTCCTTGTGTTCGAGCCCCCGACGGGAAAGTATCGAGTCGTCCTCGAAGATGCCCGTCAGATTCTGCTCCATCTCCTCCACCTCCAAATCGCCGTCGTCGTCGTCGCAGACGTAGCAGTGCTTCTCGAAGAGCTTCGTGCCGCAGACCGCGCCGTCTTCGTCCTTCCACTCGCAGCCGCAGCGCGCCGCGAAACGCGCCTTCAAGATTTTCACGGCCTGCTTGTCGCTCAACGAGCCGTCCGTATTCACGAGACACTTCGACCGCACGAGGCGGCATCTGACGTCGCCGCCGCTCTTGGACCGGAAGGCTTCGACCTCGTCGTCTTGCGCATCGTTGAGTCGGGGAAAAGCCCATACCTGCTCGCCTTGCGCGTCGGTCTCGTATTCGCTTGGCCAGTCCCATTTCATCAGATGGAGTTTCCCTATAAGCTGTGACATTTGCCCTGGATTTTGTTTCATTGTCAATCTGGCGATGTCGTAGAGTGCCTTGTTGTACGACGCCATGTCGTCGTGCAGGAGGTCGTCTGGCGGAACGGGCGGACGCGTCGATGGAAGAGCTGGAGGAGCTCTAGGAGCTCGAGGAGCTCGAGCTCGAGGAGCTCGAGGATCTGGAGGAGCTGGAGCAGGAGCTGGAGGGGCTGGAGGAGCGTTCCACTGCTTGACGCCGGTGTCGCTGTTGAGGTAGAACGGGATGCCGTCCCGGTCTAGGTGCGCGCTCCAGCCCTCCGGCAGGCGCTCGGAGAGGATGCGGAGCTTCTCCTGGGCGAGGTAGCCCTGCGGCTCGACCGAGTCCACCCTCGCCCGAGCCATGGCCTTCCGGCGGAGCTTGCTGTGTGGGCTCAGTGGCGGCGGCGAGATCGACGCGAGAGCGGGCGGCGATTGGGAGGCAGGCGGCGACGCTGCGGCGGTCTCCGCGGCCGCGGCGGCAGGCGACGGCGCGGCGGCAGGCGGCGACGCTGCGACGGTCTCCGCGGGCGCGGCGGCATGCGACGGCGCGGCGGCAGGCGGCGACGCTGCGGCGGTCTCCGCGGCCGCGGCGGCAGGCGACGGCGCGGCGGCAGGCGGCGACGCTGCGGCGGTCTCCGCGGCCGCGGCGGCAGGCGACGGCGCGGCGGCAGGCGACGGCGCTGCGGCGGCCTCCGCGGGCGCGGCGGCCGGCGGGACGGGGGCGACGCCGCGGCGGAGGAAGTCCAAGCGGAGAGGGCGGCTCGTCGGGAGGTCGATCTCGTAGGAGGTGTCGTTGTACGGGAGCGCGCCGACGTCCTCCCCGCCGACCCGAACCAGGCGCGCGCCTATCAGATCCTCGGGCTCGAGGCGTTGCTGCGCGAGCGCTGCGGCGCACTCGCCGCCGTCGACCACGCCCACGACGGAGACGTCGCCCGTGAAAGCCGGGTGAGGCGTGAGCGCGAGGCCCGGGGGACCCGCAGCGTAAAGCCAGAGCTCTAGCTCTTGTTCCATCGTTACTGGCAGCCCATTCAACAAAAAGACCTTGAGATTCATATCCAGATAAATCCAAAGCCCGAGTAACAGCTCGTCGACCTCGAACGCCGGCAGTGCTCATACGATGGTGGATGCGGCTCCCCGGTGCGCATGCGGGGCTAATTACCGGTCTAATTGTCGACTACCGCGCGAGCGGCTTGGTGGGGCACGCACGTGGGTCCCGCGGTGCGGCGCAGCGTTCTGCAACTACCACTGCGCGTCGATGCACACGAAAAGGTGCGTGAGGTGCGTGGACACAATTCAAAACAAAGAGATTCGCGTCCTGCTGAACGCGTGGCAAGGTGACTCGGCCCTTGGCCAAGTACGACAGCACAACAAGGCCGTCGTCGCCGCGGCGCGGCGGCAGGTCGGGAGCATGGGCGCGCCGGTCGCGATGCACGAGTACATCATGACCGCGCCGGACGACTGGCCGCTCGACTACAGCGACGAATTCTGCGACGTCGTGGTCTTGGACCCTACGTACTCGGGCGAGAGGCAGGTCAGATGCTCGACGACGGGCGCGTGCCTTCGCAGGGACGGGCGCATGTCCGAGCGAAACCTCGTCATGCACCTGAAAAACATCTCGTGGAAGAAAGGGTGCAACTACCGGGGATGCAAGCGGAAGCTCGGCGCCGTCGTCAAAGAAGGGCCGGGCCGCGCCGCGACGAAGATGGTGCGAGGAATGGCGGAGTGGGAAGCGGACCTGGCTGGAAACCGCTTTCACAAAGACGCGGATGGAAACGTTAGGTGGTCGAACCTGAACAGAAACGCGCATTTGGGCGACAAGTACCCGTCCAGCGTCGTCTGCGGGTTTCACGCCAGGCTCAAGACACAGCGGTCCGGAGACACAGCGGTCCGCTTCGCGGACGACGTCAACCGGCGCGTGCTCCCGGAGGACGCTTCGCAGGTCGACCGGGCCCACGCCGACGCCGTCACGGAGCAGGCGCGCGAGGCGAAGCGCGGCCCCATCATCAGAGAGCTCGCGGCGCGCGGCCTCAAGGACCTGTCCGCCGCGGAGCTGCGCGAGCACCTCAAGACGCTCGGCGCCGAGCCCTCGGTTGCGCTCGGGGCTCCGCCCTCGGAAGACGAGCTCAAGCAGGGGCTCGCCGCCGCCCTCGAGCTCTAGGTCTAAAGCGTGCTCTCGTACGGGGGGCGTGGGCGCGCGCTCGAGGAGCCGCGCGAAGTGGGGCGTGCACGCGTAGGCGCCCTCGGCGGCGCCGCCGGCGCCGGCGGGGAGCGCGACGCGGCCCGCGCGCAGCGCCCCGCCGGCGGCGGCGACCTCCGGCGCGCCGCCGAGGGCCC